CAGTCTCACACACTGAGACAAAAACACACACGTACACACAGACAATTGCATAGACACACACACACACACACACACTCACACACACACACACACACACACACACAGTCAAACATATACATAATGTACAGTCACAAACATACATACACATACATACATATATACAGACACACTCGTACACATACACATGCACACTAACATAAAAAAAACACAGACACACAATTACAAACAAACACAGACATGTACAGACACACTCATACACACACACATAGACACGCACACACACACAGAGAGACACAAACACGTGCACACAAACATACATAAACATACAGACACACAATTACAAACAGACAGACACACACACACACACACACACAAAGTTACAAACAGACNAACACACAGACAGACAGACACACACACTCACACACACACACACACACACAGGTAGGGGTTTATGAAATCCTCTGATTAATAAAGCAGGATGAGTGTGTGGCTGTGATATCTGGAGAAAGTGATGCTGCAATATTGAGTTGTTCACAGTATTTCCTCTAATATCTGTTCTTCTGGAGAAAGTCTGATTTGTTTTATTTGGGCTAGAGTAAAAGCAGTTTTTAATAGTGTTAAAGTCATGTTAAGCTCAATATTATTGGCCCCTTCAGCAATATTAGTGTTGGATAGTCTCCAGAACAAACCACTGTTATACAATGACTTGCCTAATTACCCTAACTTTACCCTGATTACCCTAACTTTACCTTGCCTTTACTCTCCTCAAGTGGTTATAAACCTTCATCAGTTTCTTTCTTCTGTTGAATGCAAAAGAAGATATTTAGTAGAATGCTGAAAACCGGTAACCATCAACCTCCATAGTAGGAAAACATATACTATGGAGGTCAGTGGTTACCGGTTTTCAGCATTTTTCTAAATATCGTATTTTGTGTTGAATACAAGAAAGAAACTCATGAAGGTTTATAACCACTTGAGGAAGAGTAAAGAGTGAGTAAATGTTCATTATTGGGTGAACTGACCCTTTAACATCAGGTGGAGCTCAACTGGAGCATGTGTATATGTTGCAACACATGACTGTGTGTCTGTTTGTCTAAGTTGATACATGACTCACTGTGTGTGTGTGTGTGTGTGTGTGTGTGTGTG